AGTATTTATAGAATAGGCAGAGTTAGGCAACCTTACGACGGTGGGTAACTGACTGAATAATATTGCTGATTCTTCTTTGGATTTAAAGGGGGGAAGTAACTTGTTGAGAGCTGCAAGGGATAGGGGGGTTGACAGCCATGATCGCCTACGTCCTGAAAGGACATAGCACGTAAAAAAGAAAGAATCTTATTAATATACACAATGTATATTCGATCAAGGAAGATGAATTACTTGAAACCTAGAAATAAATTTTAAAGGAAATGCTAGAGAAATGCCTTTGTAGTATGCGTGAATCGATTAGATATGAAGATAGAAACGGAAATACCAATGGTTTTTATTATTTGATTCGATTTATTTGTTTTGCTGACAAATAGTCAACCTACGAGAAAGGCGAGTAGGCCCACCAACAAACAAACAATGCATTATGCTATCTCTTCCATGGCCGTTACGTCACAAAGCGTCACAAAATGGGAGGAAGAGGGAGAGAGAGAGAGAAAGAGAGAGAGAGAGAGGTAGGGAGGCAGGATGGGAGAGTGGGACAGAGAGAGGCAAGTGTTATGCTTCGGAAACTACTCGTGTATATAAACTCATATCTTTTTGCAAAGTCATGCATACCAAAAAAATATAGCGATTAAGTGCTTTACAACGATTGTCAGCAGGTTAGTTCGTCTCTCGTATTGACTCGGAACAAAAGTTCGGAGCATTTCTTAAGTGCATTTTAGATACCTTCACAAAGAGCACAGCATGATGAAAAAAGGTGGCAAACTTGATGAAAACAAAGCTTTGTCGTCAAAATGTTTATGTTATTAGTAAGAGGAAAGACTAAAATATTTGTGATTATTCCATTAAATGTTTTAATCCTTTCTAACACGATCGAAATTTTGGTTAAAAATCTTGTTTTATTTTTTTTGCGTTAGCGATGGGCCAAAGATTATTTAGGGTATTTTAGCACTTTTTTTTCCCGTTAAAAAACACACTGATTTGGAAATTCTTGCAAACATCAAATAATTGTCGGATATTAATGAAACTTTCAGGACTTATTCATAAATTAGCTTTAAATGTTTTTATTTTATTTTTTATTTTTTTTAGAAAATCTCTGTAAATATTCTTTTTTTAACGTCTGTTACACTTCGCTTAAGTTTTTGAAACTTCGAGAAATTAAAATATCAGCTTCTTCATATTTATATTAGTTAAAAGCAGGACTCCTTGGAGACTATTAGTAGCCATTTTGATTTGTCAAAAAGAATGATCATTTACCGAAAAATTCATTCTCCCAATTGAACAGATATATCTATTCACACTGACCGTTACAAGCTAATCAATCCTGGTTGGGTGACTCAATCACAGACGCTATAGAAATGAAACTGATATTCATACTTTCTTATGAACTTCTGTCTGAATTTCTGGGATGGGGAGTTATCATTATTTACATTTGGGCTATTTTTTCCTTCTTAATATCACCCGATCGCCTTCTGTCTGAACTTTTGGGATGAGGAGTAATCATTATTTATATTTGGACTATTGTTTTCTTGTTAATATCACCTTCCGTCTGAATTTCTGGGATGGGAAGTTATCATTATTTAAATTTGAACTACTTTTTCCTTCTTAAAATCACCTGATCGCTTTTGTCTGAATTTTTTGGGATGGGGAGTTATCATTATTTAAATTTGGACTATTTTTTCCTTCTTAATATCACCTGATCGACTTTTGTCTCAATTTCTGGGATGAGAAGTTATCAATATTTACATTATTTACATTTGGACTGTTGTGCTCATCTATGCTGTTACTATCACCTGACCGCCTTTTATTGGAATTTCTTTCATGAAGAGTTATCCATTTTTACATAATTACACCCGGACTATTGTCCTCACCTTACTGTTGTTATCGCAATGTTTCCCCTGGGAATTATCAAATGAACCTTTTATTTAGTCTACTTGTGTAGACTCTTCTTTATCTACTCCCACGTCAATGTATATCTCTTCTAATTCCTGTTATAGTACTGCTCAATTATTACTCGCCCCTTTTCTACTATGTACACATGGGATATTTATTTAATGGTTTAAAGCACTTATTGCTCAGCCGTTTCCATTTTGTTCGAGACTTCTCATTTGATAATATCACGTCTTCCGAGACTTCGCATTTGATATCTCATTTATTTCGAGATTTCGCATATGACGTCGCACTTTGTTCGAGATTTCACGTTTGATCTCATTTCGTTTGAGACTTCGTATTTTATATCTCACTTCGAGATTTCATGCTTTATTTTTCCATTCGTGCGAGATTTCGCATTTGATATCACTTCTTTCGAGACTTCGTATTTGATAGATCACTTCGTCCGAGAGTTCATGTTTGATATCTCACTTCTTTCAAAACTTCCCATTTGTTATCTCACTTCTTTCGAGAGTAGCATTAGATATCTCACTTCTTTCGAGAATTCGGATTGGATATCTCACTTCTTTCGAGAATTCGCATTCGATATCTCACTTCATTCGAGATTTCGCATTCGATATCTCACTTCTTTTGAGATTTCGCATTCGATATCTCACTTCGTTCAAGATTTCGCATTCGATATCTCACTTCTTTTGAGAATTCGCATTCGATATCTCACTTCATTCGAGATTTCGCATTCGATATCTCACTTCTTTTGAGAATTCGCATTCGATATCTCACTTCGTTCAAGATTTCGCATTCGATATCCTACTTCTTTTGAGAATTCGCATTCGATATCTCACTTCTTTTGAGAATTCGCACTCGATATCTCACTTCTTTTGAGAATTCGCATTCGATATCTCACTTCATTCGAGATTTCGCATTCGATATCTCACTTCTTTCGAGAATTCGAATTCGATATCTCACTTCTTTCGAGATTTCGCATTCGATATCTCACTTTGTTCAAGCCAACTGCTTTTTTAACGTGATTTGAAACTCACTTGGAACGAGACCTCGTTGGAGAATATAATTCATCCGTGATATTTGATGTGGCGGTATTTAAGACACCCTTATTCATTTCATTTCGTTGTTTTCTCTTTCGTGTTCATACCAACGACGTGTAGATGGTTTTAAGGCCGTCTTGTCGGTATTTACACTAAAAGGCTACCACCGTGTTTTTTCTTTCTTTTATAAATACGCAAATTCTGGTTATCGCAAAGTGGCAACTCCGCTTTCAGCTATTTTTGACGGAAGTTACATTCCTGATTCAACACGTTTTCTGAGCTTGCCTTGTTACTTTTGTAATGGTTTTCATTTTACAATGTAACGACAACTCCTCCACCGGACGACAATTCATTTTCTTTTTCGTTTTTTAGGTTGGTGGAGATAAAAGTCACTATAGATGATCACGCCAACAGGCCATTATTGAGAATCGACCTTCCCACAAGTCTTTTTTCTAAGCTATGTTAAGCTTAACAAAATTTGTGTATGAAATAAAGGCAATAAAATATTTGAAGACGTGGGCGCAAAAATATTTATTCCTTTTTAGGTATGAGAATATAAGTCAAGTTAGTGAACTGTAAACTGTGTTAACAATATGTATATATTTATATACGTGTGTGTGCTAATATGCTTGAAAAACGCCCCATATCATCAGGTTAATTGATGTGTTAGAATACATGTGACTAAAACCTGTTTGATATGCTATTTAAATAACTTAGAGTACTAGTGAAAAGTTATGGTTTTCCTATCTTTAGAATTTTCTGATGCGTCATAATTCTCAGTTTCATGATTGAATACGTTCCTTGTAATTTCGATTTCGATAAAATATTCGTAGAAATTCTTGGAAAGGAATGGACAAACCAACTTCTAGTGATAGGTTATATAAGACAGACTGGGTTGTTTTGCTTTGTCAGGCAACCAGTCTTCTTCTCCTTTCATGTGCCCTACCCATTCAGGACGTGGCACATAAAGAAGAACTGAGTCTCAGTTTATACTTTTCCTATGAGGCTCTTCTGAAGTGTGTTTTAATTTTGATGTTTATTTTTTTAAAGCATACTCGCCTTCTATCTTAATTCTTTTGTCTTTAATTTATTTCTTCCTCCCATGTGTTTTCTGTTATTTCATAAAGTCAAAAGGAACAGTTAGGAATAAAAGTCTCAGATATTACACACACTCTATTAAAAACATATCGAAGATCAGATGAGGGCTGACATCTTTGTTCAATTTGATAATCTTTAGTCAAAGAATCACGCAGATGATTCTTATTGGATCAAAGAATTATGCAGATAAATAATTGAGAACCAATTTGAATCTTTCCTATGAAGCTGCTTTGAATTATATCTTAATTTTCATGCCTATTTTTTTTTTAGGGTGATCGCCTTCTAGCTTCTATTATACAGGCTTTATCTGATCGGATTTTTGTTTTTATTTTATTTGATTTGTTTGGCTGTGTTATTTCATAAAGACAAAATTAACAGATGAGTTGAATTACTCATAATATTCAACGCACATTAACAGAACAGCTGAGCTGAAACACGTCACAATATTCCACACACACATTAACATAAACGTTGAGCAGAAATATCTCATAATATTTCATACAGAACGTATTCTCTTTCATCATATTCGCCTTTATCTTATTTACATATTGTTACCGAATATTTGGTTTTCATTTGTTTCAACATCGTTTCGCTATGCCAGCAGATGAGCCGAAAATTTTCACAATATGTCAAATTATCGAACAAAGAATATAAAATACATATTTCCAGTGAATGTTTGGAAAAAAATATAAACGAATATCTATTAATACATATTTATTTCTTCAAATATTTTTATAGCGCATACCCGTAGTCAAAATCACTATTCGGGCTTTGCTTGGCCACTAGGTTCGCTGTAACCGAGAGACCAAAGCGCGTCAGAGGTACGCAGGAGAGTGCATATTTCTCGACTAACGTTGAAAGTGATACAAATCTGCCAAATTAATAAAATCCCCCTTTCTCTCTCTCTATATATATATATATTCGAGATTTCATGTTTTATTTTTCCACTCGTGCGAGATATCGCATTTGATGTCACTTCTTTCAAGACTTCGTGTTTGATATTCCACTTCGTTCGAGAGAGTTTATGTTTGACATTTGATTTTTGTAAGCGTAGATGTGGCACAAGGCCGAAATTATGGGACACCCAGTGAGGATCGAACTCACTTCTCAGTCGTAATTGTCGAGACAAGCTTGGTAACCATTACACCACGCGCAGTTGATGTTTGATATTCCACTTAGTTTTATATATATATATATATATATATATATTGAGATAAACTGCAATCATTTGGTTTGCAGCCAGTCTATGAGAAAGAATACGAAGGAATTGAATTGGGTGCTGTGAATTCCTTTCCTTGTATTGAAGTTTGGTCAGGTCGTGTAATACAGATGTTCCCCTAGCAGCCATCTTGAACTCGATACTGGATTTTAGATAGGATGTTAAGAAGAAGGGTTTTAGTTTTGTGCAAATCCCCACTCGTCTAAAAATACACTCAGACACAATCTGCTCTTTATTACTGGAAGCCATCATCATCATCCCTTGAGAGGTGTAGCGGTTTTTGTTTTAACATATAATTGAATCACAATTTGTGTTTTGCTTTTGATCGTACATTGCAATTTTTATGGGTTTTCTCTTTCAACCTGATTTCCTTCTATCTTAATTTTATTGAATATATTTTGTTATCTAAATGGATATTTGCTGTCATAAGTTTCTTCAGTTATTTGTCAGAAAGGCAAGCATGACACAAAATGAAAAATCTCACAATATTTCACATACTTTAACGAAGAGCATTTAAATATAAACAAATATTTGGTTGCATTCATAAATTATCAATATACAGTTAGATAATAATAATAATAATTATTATTATTATTGTTATTATTATTATTGTAACCTAGAAAAGGTTGTAGTTGGAGCCCTAGGACTGGTTGGAAAAGATTGCAGTAGACTAATTGAAGGGATTCCCGGAAGTCCATGCCTCAAGGAGATACAAAAAATTGTTCTGAGAAATACAGCCCACACTTTACCAAGGGCTTTATCTAATTAATTTTTTTTTCTGTCAGTGGAAAGTGTCATGATGCCATTTCTAAACTTAGGCCCCTCGGCGGGACCCGGAAAGAAATGTGTAAACGCCAGAAATCAAAAAAAAATAATAATAATAATAATAATAACAAAAAGTGAGGACATCAACACACGTGAGGACATCAATAATTCCAGTTGTAGTTGGAGCCTTCAGATTGATGAGAAAAGGTATTGATAGACTGATTGAAGACAGGCCGTAAAGAAATACGGAGAATTGCCCTCACAAGAACAGCTCACAGCTTACGAAGGGCTTGATCTATGTAAAATGTGTCTGATTTTTTGAAAATACCAAGTGGAAAATGTCATGTTGCCATTTCTTAGGTCTCTGGTTGGGACCCGGAAACAAATGGGTATACACCAGAAATAAAAAGAAATAAAATAATAAAACAATTGAAAAAAAATACATGAAAATTACGAGAATTTTTCAGGCTAGCAAAACTTCTGCCAAAATAGGTTATTAGAAGTATAATATCGAATAAATCAAGAAACATTTAACGGGTTTAACAAACAGTAGACACCTGATGAGTGTTTCCAGGTGAAATACTTGTTGAATAAGTTATAATAATAGAATTGATGATATCTCTAAAATTCACTCAACAACGGTGTGCCTGTACATATAATAAAGCGAAATAGAAAGTTGGTGCGTATGTAAAACATCAATATTTAATATGTCGTTTAATATGCTATTATATGTAATATATTAACATATTAATAACATGTAATATATAATATAATAGTATATATATATATATATATATATATATATATATATATATATATATATATATATATATTAATATGTAATTATCTTATGTGATTTGTATAAATATTTTTCATGCGTATTTACACATAAATCTAATTCTAGATTCAATTTTCACGCGTGATTGCGCAGCTATTTCTATTTTTCCACAAATTTTTGTCACGGTTCCGTAGAGGCATATTGTTCTAGTTTGAAAGCCCCAAATATAGAAGCTTACTTCCATATTTTATATATATATATATATATATGTATATATATGTTACGAAAAACTTGGTAATCCGTATGGGTAGACGCAAGGAGAATGAAATCCTGAGAGCTCAATGTAAATTCAGAGCTAATAATTTAAAGAAAAACAGACCACTTTAAGGCTCCATTGTTATAGTTTATTTCACCAGAGACCTTTTAAAGTACCCTGGATCATCAGACATCACTTCCAAAAGGTGAAACGAAAATGAGATGAAAGTTTTTGTTTCACCTGTTGAAAGTGATGTCTGAAGATCCAGGGTACTTTAAAAGGTCTCTGTAAAATAAACTATTACAATGGACCTTAAATTGATCTATCTTTCTTTTATATATATATATATATATATATATATATATATATATATATACATATCGATAGATAGATGCTTACTCAAAATATTGAAGCTTACTTCCATATTTTGATATATCTATATCCATTTGTAGATACTTACTCAAAATCTGGAAACCTACTTCCATATATTGATATATATATACATATATCCATAGATAGATGCTTACATAAAATATGAAAACATTATATTCATATATATTATATATATATATATATATATATATATATATATATATATATAAGAGCCAGTTTGAATATTGGTATACAATAACCAGGATTCGGACTGACTCACACTAAGGTTTTTGCGTTAAAAATATTTCAATAATGTAGTGTAATTAACCCCTGAAAACTTAGTGGAGGGGGTAAGCGGGGGCACATACTGAAAGGATTAACTAAGACAGTAATTCATTACTTTTTTCGTACCCCTTTCAAACCATCCAAAACTTCTTGCACCCCATTCAAACCACCAACGAGTTCGCGCCCCTTTCAACACACCAACCAGTTCTCGCCCCCTTTCAAACCACCAACCAGTTCTAGCACCTCTTTCAAACCACCAACCAGTTCTCGCCCCCTTTCAAACCACCAACCAGTTCGCGCCCCTTTCAACACACCAACCAGTTCTCGCCCCCTTTCAAACCACCAACCAGTTCTAGCACCTCTTTCAAACCACCAACCAGTTCTCGCCCCCTTTCAAACCACCAACCAGTTCTCGTATCCCTTAAAACCACCGGCCACTTCTCGCACCACTTTCAAACCACCAACCAGTTCTCGTACGTTTTTCAAACCACCAACCAGTTCTCGTACCCCTTAAAACCACCGGCCATTTCTCGCACATCTTTCAAACAACCGGCCACTTCTCGTACCCCTTTCAAACAACCGGCCACTTCTCGCACCTCTTTCAAACCACCAACCAGTTCTCGTACCCCTTTCAAACCACCGGCCACTTCTCGCACCTCTTTCAAACCACCAACCAGTTCTCGTACCCCTTTCAAACCACCGGCCATTTCTCGCAACTCTTTCAAACCAACAACCAGTTCTCGTACCCATTTCAAACCACCAACCAGTTCTCGCACCTCTTTCAAACCACCAACCAGTTCTCGTACCCCTTAAAACCACCGGCCACTTCTCGCACCTCTTTCAAACCACCAACTAGTTCTCGTACCCCTTTCAAACCACAGGCCACTTCTGGCACCTCTTTCAAACCACCAACCAGTTCTCGCCCCCTTTCAAACCACCAACCAGTTCTCGTATCCCTTTCAAACCACCGGCCACTTCTCGCACCTCTTTCAAACCACCAACCAGTTCTCGCCCCCTTTCAAACCACCAACCAGTTCTCGCACCTCTTTCAAACCACCAACCAGTTCTCGCCCCCTTTCAAACCACCAACCAGTTCTCGTAATCCTTAAACCCACCGGCCACTTCTGGCACCTCTTTCAAACCACCAACAAGTTTCTACTCCCCTTTCAAACACCAACCAGTTCTCGTCGTTAAAACTGCCAGACACTTCTCGCACCCTTCCAAAACCACCGGCCACTTCGCACCTCTTTCAAACCACCAACCAGTTCTCGTACCCCTCTTCAAACCTTTCGGCCACTTCTCGCACCTCTTTCAAACCACCAACCAGTTCTCGAAACCTTTCAAAATACCAACGTGTTCTCGTATCCCTTAAAACCACCGGACACTTCTCGCACCTCTTTCAAACCACCAACCAGTTCTCGTACTCTCTTTCAAACCACCGGCCACATCTCGCACCTCTTTCAAACCACCAACCAGTTCTCGAACCCCTTTCAAACCACCAACCAGTTCTCGTATCCCTTTCAAACCACCGGCCACTTCTCGCACCTCTTTCAAACCACCAACCAGTTCTCGCCCCCTTTCAAACCACCAACCAGTTCTCGCCCCCTTTCAAACCACCAACCAGTTCTCGCACCTCTTTCAAACCACCAACCAGTTCTCGCACCTCTTTCAAACCACCAACCAGTTCTCGTAATCCATTTCAAAACCACCGGCCAATTCTCGCACCTCTTTCAAAACCACCAACCAGTTTCTCGTACCCATTTCAAACTACTGGCCACTTTCGTACAGTTCTCTTTCAAACCACCAACCAGTTCTCGTCAAACCCCCTTAAACCACCGGCCAGTTTCGCACCTCTTTCAAACCACCAACCAGTTCTCGTACCCCAATTTTCAAACCACAGGCCGTACCCATTTCTGGCACCTCTTTCAAACCAGCAACCAGTTCTCGCCCCCTTTCAAAACCACCACCAACCAGTTCTCGTATCCCTTTCAAACCACCGGCCACTTCGCACCTCTTTCAAACCACCAACCAGTTCTCGCCCCTTTCAAACCCACCAACCACTTCTCGCACCCTTTCAAACCACCAACCAGTTCTCAAACCCCCCTTTCAAACAAACCACCAACCAGTTTCGCACTCCTTTCAAACCACCAACCAGTTCTCGCCCCCTTTCAACAAACCACCAACCAGTTCTCGTAACCCTTAAAACCCACCGGCCGAACCCTTCGCACCTCTTTCAAACCACCAACCAGTTCTCGTACCCCTTTCAAACCACCGGCCACTTCTCGCACCTCTTTCAAACCACCAACCAGTTCTCGAACCCTTTCAAACCACCAACGTGTTCTCGTATCCCTTAAAACCACCGGACACTTCTCGCACCTCTTTCAAACCACCAACCAGTTCTCGTACCTCTTTCAAACCACCGGCTCGCTCCCATCAAGCGGCCAAACAGTTCTCGCCCCTTTCAAACCACTAACCAGTTCTCGAACCCCTTTCAAACCACCAACCAGTTCTCCGCATCCCTTTCAAACCACTGGCCAGTTCTCGCACCACTTTCAAACCACCAACCAGTTTCTCAAACCACCGCCCCTTCAAACCACCAACCAGTTCTCGCCCCCTTCAAAAACCACCAACCAGTTCTCGCAAACCTCTTCTTTCAAACCACCAACCAGTTCTCGCCCCCCTTTCAAACCACCAACCAGTTCTCTCGTAATCCATTCTAAACCACCGGCCAGTTCTCGCACCTCTTCAAAACCACCAACCAGTTCTCGTAACCCATTTCAAACTACCGGCCAATTCTCAAAATTCTTTCAAACCACCAACCAGTTCTCGTACCCCTAAAACCACCGGACACCTCTCGCACCTCTTCAAACCACCAACCAGTTCTCGCACCTCTTTCAAACCACACCGGCCACTTTCGCACTTCTTCAAACCACCAACCAGTTCTCGAACCCTTTCAAACCACCAACGTGTTCTCGTATCCCTTAAAACCACCGGACACTTCTCGCACCTCTTTCAAACCACCAACCAGTTCTCGTACCTCTTTCAAACCACCGGCCACATCTCGCACCTCTTTCAAACCACCAACCAGTTCTCGAACCCCTATCAAACCACCAACCAGTTCTCGTATCCCTTTCAAACCACCGGCCACTTCTCGCACCACTTTCAAACCACCAACCAGTTCTCGCCCCCTTTCAAACCACCAACCAGTTCTCGCCCCCTTTCAAACCACCAACCAGTTCTCGCACCTCTTTCAAACCACCAACCAGTTCTCGCACCTCTTTCAAACCACCAACCAGTTCTCGTAATCCATTTCAAACCACCGGCCAATTCTCGCACCTCTTTCAAACCACCAACCAGTTCTCGTACCCATTTCAAACTACCGGCCACTTCTCGTACCTCTTTCAAACCACCAACCAGTTCTCGTACCCCTTTCAAACCACCGGCCAGTTCTCGCACCTCTTTGAAACCACCAACCAGTTCTCGTACCCCTTTCAAACCACCGGCCACTTCTCGCACCTCATTTTAAAAACCACCAGCCAGTACTGAACCCCCTTTCAAACCACCGGCCACTTTTCTCGTACCTCTTTTCAAACCACCAACGATTACTCAAACCACCAACCAGTTCTCGTACCCCAGCCACTTCTCTTTCAAACCACCAACCAGTTCTCGTATACCCTTTCAAACCACCAACCAGTTCTCGTACCCCTTTTCAAACCACCGGCCAATTCAAACCACCAGCCCTTTTCAAAACCACCCACCAGTTCTCGCAAACCACCCTCTTCAAAAACCACCAACCAGTTCTCGAACCCTTTCAAACCACCGGCCACTTCTCGCACCTCTTCAAACCACCAACCAGTTCTCGAACCCCTTCAAACCACTGACACTTCTCGCACCTCTTTCAAAACCACCAACCAGCTCTCGTCCCCCCTTTCAAACCACCGGCCACTTCTCGCACCTCTTTCAAACCACCAACCAGTTCTCGCCCCCTTTCAAACCACCAACCAGTTCTCGCCCCCTTTCAAACCACCAACCAGTTCTCGTACCCCTTAAAACCACCGGCCACTTCTGGCACCTCTTTCAAACCACCAACCAGTTCTCGTATCCCTTTCAAACCACCGGCCACTTCTCGCACCTCTTTCAAACCACCAACCAGTTCTCGCCCCCTTTCAAAACACCAACCAGTTCTCGCCTTCTTTCAAACCACCAACCAGTTCTCGCACCTCTTTCAAACCACCAACCAGTTCTCGTACCCCTTTCAAACCACCGGCCAATTCTCGCACCTCTTTCAAAACACCAACCAGTTCTCGTACCCCTTTCAAACCACTTGCTTGTCTCTATCCAACAATTTATAATAAATAACTATTGCTCTACTCTTGTTATTGAACCCTTTTTAAATTAATGTTACGGATATTTGAATTTACATTCTTTCGTTCTCATTATATATATATATATATATATATATATATATATATATATATTTTGATAATTATAATGAAGTGATTCATCGAGTCTGAAAGAAACCTCAACAGAATGCAAAAAGCACTGGACGGCCGTTTTCTGCTACATTTAGCACTCAGCAGCAGTGCGTGTCCACTACCGAGGATTGAAACCCGGACAGTTAGGTTGTCAAGCAAACTTCATACAAACTGTTCCAACGGGCCTCGGTGACGAAGAAGCAGCAAATCAGACTCAATATAGCGCAGCTCGCTCACATATTCTTTTGACCTTTCTTTCAGACTCGATGAATTACTTAATTATACGATAAATTCAGTTCTTTAATTGCCGCAAGACATGAACAACATGTACACGTATGTTTTAGTTACATTAAATTTACATTTTCATCCAGTGGAGTCTGTGTGATACCTTTTCACTCGAGATCCATCTAACTGATTTTGACCAAACTTGGCACATACATTGTACAATGTAAGAGATAAGTTCTTTGCGTAAAAAATCGATACCTTTAAAGAAAAAATCGATAAACTTTAAAGCCGATCAAAATCGATAAATTCCTCTGATTTCGTTCAAACTCGCTATGTAGGTTACTTACATCATGACGTGCTGAATGATACCTCATTTTTATTTCTACGCCTCTGCATTTAGCGAAAAATCACGAAAAATAGATTTCAACACAAATCAATTTCAACACAAATTTTAAACTAAAAACTACCTCAATTTTCACGCAATTTAATACGAACTTTGTAGCCAACAATAAATTGATTGTTTGACAATCATTTAACTTGGGAATTGAGTCCACCCATAGAGTGCCACTAGCACGCAAGGGTTTACAAAGAGTGAGAGTAAGAGTAAAGAGGAATGTTTGGGAAAGAATAAGGAGAAGAACAGGGACTAACTTCAAGGCATCAGAAGATGTCGACTGACATTACATTTGAATATTTGAAGATTATAGCTATCAGGGAAGCAAGTGATAGGAAAGGAGTTCCACTGACGGGAGGTGCGAAATAAGAAGCTGTTGGAGTAGAAAAGGCGGTTACATTTAGTCATTTTGACAGTGAAAGGGTGGGGCCGAGATGCCAAACTAGCGCTTTATAAATGTATCTTCTTTTACATGACTGGTAGTATACTGGCAAATTGAATTTCAAAAACTCCAAAATAAATTTGGTCTGAAGTGGGTCTTCAGTTGCCTGTTTTATCCCTTCATATCTTTGGCTAACTTCGATTGAATAAATACAGACTGTTATATCAGTAACTGCATTAATTCAAAATATTTTTTAAATTAAAGTACATTAAAGTAATTGAAAAAGATAGACTCTGTTGCATCTAAACATGATGTTGTTTTTGCTCCATTCCGTAGTTGAAACTCTTTCTGATTCATACTGCTAGTATATATATATATATATATATATATATATATATATATATATATATATATATAGTTTTAAGGTGTGCTATATTTATGGGATAAATATCAGAGATAGAGCGTATGTAAATATAAATATAAAAAGTCAGCCAGACGATTACGTCTAGCATGAAACAGCCTCTGGGTGTTGACTTCAGTTTTCCTTTATATATATATATATATATATATATATATATATATATATATATATATATATATATATGTGTGTGTGTGTGTATATATATATATGTGTATATATATATATATATATATTAGCTCTCGATAAAATAATTTAATCGGTCGAGCACTGTGAGGAGTAACGGATTTGTAAACAGGCACTATTATTTGATAATGCAACACTCTCTAGCGATTGAGTTTCTGGGTAACTGGTGTTTATGAAAACATAAACACGCAAATATTCGTCATTCTCTATGCCAATGGCCTAGAGGTTAGAATCTCCGACTCATGCCATATCGGTCGGGTTTCGTTCTCGGCCTGAAGCGATCGGATATCTAGCCACACCGATGAGCTGTGATATCCCGTCTGTGGACGATGGTATATATATATATATATATATATATATATATATATATATATATATATAGATATATATATATATATATATATATATATATATAAATATATATTCATGAAATCTACATAGATGATTGCTGATGAAGGATATGCAATGCGATTGGCCCTGATCTGGCATCTCGTCTACAGTCGCTCTCGCACAGACGTGCCTCCTCTGTCTTTTCTACAAATACTTTCACGGTAACTGCTCCGACGAGCTTCTTTCGCTGATTCCCAAACTGCATGAATTTAAATGTGCTACTAGGTTGGCATCTTGGTCCCACCGTTTCACTGTCGAAAACGGTTAAATGTGGCCGTCTCTTTAACTTCAATAGCTTCATATCTCGCACTTCCCATCTGTGGAACTCCCTTCCGCTTACTTGCTTCCCTGATAGCTATAATCTCCAACTATTCAATGCAATGTCAATCGACATCTGCAGATGCCTTGATCTCTTCCCCGTTCTTCTCTTCATTCTTTCCTCCATCACGCCTCTTTACTCTTAGTCCCACTCTCTGTAACCCCTTGCATGCTAGTGGCACTCTCGCCTTGCTTGGGGTGAAAAGTTTAAAAAGGAAAAGATAAAAGATTTTTTTTTTTTGCTCAAAAATAAGCCTGTTTAGTTTCATCTGTATAGACCAGTGGTTCACAACCTTTTTTTTCTTCCATGGCCAAATTTTACTCTATTATTTTTTTATTTTATTTTTATAGTGGGTTTCCATAGCCATTTTGTAGTGGGCCTCCATAGCCATTTTGTAGTGGGCCTCCATAGCCATTCGATGTAACTAAACTCTCCAAGTTTTTGTCCACCTCTGCTGTGGCCAGGTATTGAACTCACAACCCTTTGAATCAAGTCACTGGATTAC